TTCAAATCAAAAATACTAGCGAACCTGGCGGTGAGCGGCGGAAAGTGGTCTAAAATTCTATTACAGAGAACCACCTTATTTTAATTAATTTCTTCGGAGAAAGTCGTCTGTAACTTCGTTTGTGGTACTACCATAGAGGTAACTCTAAGACAAGTAGGTCCCGAAGAAACGTGCTCAACTTTTTGGCTCACCTCTGGTACTATCATAGAGGTAACTCTAAGACCACTGGGTCCCGAAGAAAATCATTATTATTTTTGGCTCACTCAGTACCAGAACAACGGTCCCAAGCAGTCCCAAGCTATTTCACTCACCCCTGCATGTTCTGCATGAATCCACACACCCCTGATGTTATCTGTCAAACTTTCATAGCGAATCAAAACAAACTTAGTGTAGTAATAGAATTTCAACTAGAATAGGGTACGTTAATCGTTTGCTTGGGACCAATAGGCTACTAAAGTGGTGAGCCAATTTAAAATCGTTAGTTTCGTATTGATTGTTGGTACTATCTTCGGTCCCAAGCTTGTCACCCCTCGAAAAATAGGAAAAACCAATAACCCCTCATTTTATCTGTCAAACTTTCATAACGAATGAAAACAAACATTGCGTAGTACTAGAATTTCGACTAGAATAGGGTACGTTAATCGTTTGCTTGGGACCAATAGGCTAGTCAAGTAGTGAGCCAATTTAAAATCGTTAGTTTCGAATTGATTGTTGGTACTACACTATGCTTGTTTTGATTTGCTATGAAAGTTTGACAGATAAAATGAGGGGTTCATGAATTTAACTATGGTTCGAGGGGTGCATCGATAATCTTGGGACCGAAGGGAGTACCAGAGCTGAGCCAAACAGTTGAGCACGTTTCTTCGAAACCTTTTGGTCTTAGAGTTACCTCTATGGCTTTAGTGTGATAATACCATAGAGGTAACTCTAAGACCACTGGGTCCCGAAGAAAATAATTATTATTTTTGGCTCACTCAGTACCAGAACAACGGTCCCAAGCAGTCCCAAGCTATTTCACTCACCCCTGCATGTTCTGCATGAATCCACACACCCCTGATGTTATCTGTCAAACTTTCATAGCGAATCAAAACAAACATAGTGTAGTAATAGAATTTCAACTAGAATAGGGTACGTTAATCGTTTGCTTGGGACCAATAGGCTACTAAAGTGGTGAGCCAATTTAAAATGGTTAGTTTCGTATTGATTGTTGATAATACCATAGAGGTAACTCTAAGACCACTGGGTCCCGAAGAAAATCATTATTATTTTTTGCTCACTCAGTACCAGAACAACGGTCCCAAGCAGTCCCAAGCTATTTCACTCACCCCTGCATGTTCTGCATGAATCCACACACCCCTGATGTTATCTGTCAAACTTTCATAGCGAATCAAAACAAACATTGCGTAGTACTAGAATTTCAACTAGAATAGGGTACGTTAATCGTTTGCTTGGGACCAATAGGCTACTAAAGTGGTGAGCCAATTTAAAATCGTTAGTTTCGTATTGATTGTTGATAATACCATAGAGGTAACTCTACACACAAAGAAAAATCATTGCTAAAATTAAAAAAATCATTGATAGAATTAAAAGTTAGCATTGGTTCTTTTTGGTAGAAAGCGGTTGACTTTCAAAACAAAAGTCAGCCAACTGTTAAATCAAAAATTGTTCGCTCTAAACTTTTAAAAGTTAAAACTTTCAAAATAAATTGTGATACTGTCAAATTAAAAGCACGGCAGTTATGGAATTAAAATCAGGTTCTTTTCAATTCAAGACGAAGTTTTGGTTTGAAAATGTGATATAGTTAAAACGATAAGTAACATTTTGAAATGAAAAACACACATTTTCACCGTAATAACATCTTTATTCATTTTAAATTCTAAATAATATTTAATTTAAGGTTTTTAGATATTAGAAAAAAAGATTAAAATACATTTATTATCCATTTCCTTTACAAATAATTAAGCGTTATGCAATAAGATTCACGGAGAGACACATATTCACATCCCGTCAAGTGAAGGTCGATACGAGGAACACAAAATCTGGACACTGGCAAGGCAAGCTTGATATTGTTTTCCATTTCGCAATCTGTAAATCCTATGCCGCAGCTTCATAAAGTACCAACAGGTGACGGGTTTTACGGGCAGCTGGTTCTCGTCCTTCTCCTGATCAAAGTTTAATTTACCTTTTTCGTTATTATTCAGTAGGGCTTGATCCTTCTCCAACAGGAATTTGATAAGGTCTATACCGAAAACTGTCGCGACTTCGTCCTGGTAGATTCCATAGCCTGATAAAAAAAGAATCTAAAAATCCAATAACAATAACAATGAAAATAGTGTACTTACCATTTGGAATGCCAATTTCACGTGGGTCTTAACATAGCAGCAAATAATGTCGGAATATCCAACTAAGAAAACTTCAGTGTCTGGTATCCCACAGAAGAATCCTGACTCTTGTTGTAGCTTCAGAGCTGGATTTCATGTTCACAGCGGCCAGACTAGCAGAAAAGGCGGCATATGAGATGTCAGTGCAGCCAGTAAAAACATCGCTGAGGGGTACTTTTGACAGTTTTACAACTTTTGTTTTAAAAATATGTACTTTTAAAACCACGAATCAAAAGTAAAAGAAAAACTTTCAATTAAAAAAACTAACTTTTATTTTGAATATTTTTGCTGTTGAATCTACAAATTTTGGGAAACTTTTAATTTGAAAATGCACTATTTTTATATATACAATTTTCGTTGTTTGTGTGTAAGACTAGAAGGTCCCGAAGAAACGTGCTCACCTTTTTGGCTCAGCTCTGGTACTCTATTCGGTCCCAAGCTAATCAATTCACCCCTCGAAACATAGGAAAATCCACGAACCCCTCAGTTTATCTGTTAAACTTTCATAGCGAATCAAAACAAACATAGTGTAGTACTAGAATTTCGACTAGAATGGGGTACGTTAATCGATTTGCTTGGGACCAATAGGCTAGTCAAGTAGTGAGTCAATTTAAAATCGTTAGTTTCGTATTGATTGTTGATAATACCTTTGTAAACTACTTTGATGTAAATCTCGATCCACTGTAGGCCAGCGATGCAGATTTGATCGAATAACATGAATGAATGTTTTCATACAGTTGTCATTCTTGCCTTCATCGCAAGGAATCGATTCTAATTGAAACGTCCCGCTATTTATACCCTTCGGAGTGTTGAAACACTCTCCAAAGGCGCGCCCCTTTGTCAGTCAAAATTGGATTCCTTAGCAACAAAAATAAGCTATGACACCGATGATGACCATGCATCAGAACCCTAGTCTTAACCACTTCAAACTAGGGAACAAAGAATAGAAGATTAGGAATCACATAGGTGAAGACTAAAGGCCCAAGCGCAATGACAGCGGAAGCGAAACGGCAGCGGCGGCGGAAAAGCCCGATCTGAGTAAGCCTACTTGCCGGATTGAAAACTAGTTAGAATCAAATCGACTTCGGTTAGGCATCTTGATGTCATTTGTGACAACTGTCAAACTTTCCGTTTTCGTTCCGTTTCCGTTCCGCTTCCGCCCACATTGCGTTTGGGCCTCAACTAACTCATTTTTCCTTGTTTCAAGATAATTCTCGGTGCAGGCAACCCGAGAACTTATCACTATCAACAAGGCATAAAAAGTAACAATGACTAAGATGTGTTCCTTTGATTACTGAAAAATCCTGTTCCCCTAGTTTGAAGTAGTCAGGACTAGGAATCGGTGGTAGATCTTACATCCCATAAGGTACCACGAAAAGGCGATCTACCCACGTTACGAGGCTGACAAGTTCTTAATATAAACGTTGTTTACTTAATAAATTGACAGACTAGTAGTTTTAAGCCCATCAACAATTACAAAAAATGTTGTAGTAATAGTTGTCTGATCTCTAAACCATATTCTTACAAAGTTCCTAAGTAACATTAATCTTTGCTATCAGACCAATTTGACAGATCCTAACTGAAACTGAAAAAACCTATGTATTAATTTAAAGAAACGAACTCAACTTTATGGCTCAGCTCTAGTACTATTTTCGGTCCCAAGCTAATCGATGCACCCCTCGAAACAAAGGAAAATCCATGAACCCCTCATTTTATCTCTCAAAATTTCATAGTGAATCATACCAAACATAGTGTAGTACTAGAATTTATAGTAGAATGGGGTACGTTAATCGATTTGCTTGGGGCCAATAGGCTAGTCAAGTGGTGAGCCAATTTAAAATCATTAGTTTCGCATTGATTCTTGTTAAAACCATGAATTGGGTTCTTTAATTATGAAAAATATATCCGTTTTTATATATCATCTGAAAGAACTTAGTTTTCTGAGCACAGTGATATTTTTTTCGAACCCACACACTTTAATCTCGATTTTTAAATCAAGATTTAAAGCAAAATAATAACTTCACTTATTGACACTAAACTGACAAAATGACAGCTCGCTCCCATACAAAGTGACACCGAGGGGCGCGAATAAGGTGATTTTTGCAAATGTAATCGTACTTATTTAAAATAGTTCCAGTGTACCAAAATTTATGAAATTTTGGGTTTGGTTCCATTTTGAATGCAGATTACGAATATGCATTTAACTGAATACCCTTAAAGAACCCAATTAAACCTGAAAAATGTGAATAAAACGATAAAACAAACGCTTCAGTCGAATTCTGCGTGTTTCCTATGCATTTGAGAATACAAAAGATTATCGTTTTATGCCGTAATTAAGAATGGCATTTAACAATATGTTGCAAAAAATCAAATTAATTTTTCTCCAATCAGATTCAATGCCAGATAGGACATTTTGAAATGTTTGTCTAAATTTAGATTTCAAGATATTTTGAGTGAACCGAATTCGTATACCCCTTGCCTCGAGCGGTTTGGCTCGCATCTCTAATGTCATTTCTGAAGATGCATGCGTTTTGAGCGTTTTGAGTGGTACGTCAAAATTGTGATCTGTCATCCGTCAATCCGATGTCAGTTTTGTTTTCTTTTTCTCCTCGTGAAGAGTGTATGCTAAACCACACACAAAAGTTTTCGTCGACGGTAGTGTGCTCCTGTGGCTGCATTTTTCCTTCTTTTTGTCCGTTCAGAAAGTGCAAAATTCAGGAATTCGTCGTGATTCCGGACACGTTCAGTATCGGAGTACTGCGCCGCGAGTTCTGAACCGTAAACTGAGTTTCGTTCGAAAACAAACAAAAACTGACGAGAAAATGTTCGAATCTGTGCCACGGTGGGTTCGCGTATCCGCCGTGATTCTCGGAGTCAGCATCGGTTCGGAGGTCCTGTACGAAGTGTACCTCGGTTGGAAGTCTTACTGCCAGGAACGTCGGGCTCGGCAGCGCGCAAATAGCCACATTAACATGGTATTTTTTACGAACGAACGTAGCATCCAAGCGAACGCACCCGGAACGACAATGGCCAACTTTACGTCGGAACATGTCTGCCGGATAGTGGCTTTGCTGGACCGGGCGCGTGTTTCGATTAACCTGGGGATGTACATCATTACCGTCTCCAATATCGGTGACGCGTTGCTCCGGGCCGCGAAACGGGGCGTTCGGGTACGAGTCGTCGGATGCTCCTCGATGGCATACAGCACCGGATCACAGATGACCAGATTGGCCAATGCAGGTAACTGGAGATTTAAGTTGATTTGATAAGGATAAAATGTGTTCCCTTCTGGATTGTTTGTCAGCTGGAATGCACTTCCGTTGACCTCGACATTGACATTCACGGTGTCCTTGGAAAAAAGATAACCTTATCCATTTTTTTTTGCATCGCTTGTTCTGGAGACAAAGAACTCTAACATTAATTTACATGAGAAATGTATTTTCCTATTTATCTCAAAATAGTAGCAGGAATACTAATTGTCACTCAAGAAAAAATGATAGTGTAATGTAGTACTTGATTTCGTCAGCTCGAAAGTAAATCCAAAATGTCATTGATTAGTTAAATTAATCATTCCCTCGATGGAGTACGTGAAATATGGAAATTGGACCGTAAAAGGCCGAAAGCCACGAGATCTTTCTAACCTCACAGAACAGACGGAAAACGAATGCGAGAAGAAAAACGAAGGAAACGAGTTGCATCATTGCCTTATTTTTATATCCATGCAGCCGTCAGCAAAGCGGACAGAAAGAATGCACGTGTTTTTGCGAGCTGCAGCGATTTGCGAAATGTCATTTTTTTCCTCTTTGGGCAGCCTTTGCATCCTTTCAAACGTATTTGACAGATTTTGCTGCACTCTCCGAATAGGCAAGGAAATTTATTTGTTCTTTGTTCCGCAGCCTATCCAAAAGTCAGGTGACAAATTTTGGGTCCAATAAAAATAATTTTCTGTACTCAGTTCTCTTCGAAAAAAAAATAGGCATCAATGCAACAATAACAACAACTTGTCCGACGAGCGCTCAGGAGAGCAGCGCAGTGCAGCGAATGCAATAACAAAAAACGAACAAGAAAAAGATACACCACATGGCGATGGTCAGTGGCGAGAGCGAGAGGCATGCGATAATGCACTTTTACATTTCGTGATATTATTTTTTCTTTTCTGCGCTCGCGTTCCTCAGCTGTGTTCAGAGAAAAAGAAAAGGTTCTTCTTTTGCTTCCTCTTTGCGTATGCTCTTATTACAGCTGTTATCAATCAATAAAAAGCTAGGTTGGTAGGCAAACAACATCCATCCTTCTCGGCCTACTATGCGCTGTCCATCCATCGACGTCATCATTGCCTTCTTATCAGCTATTTTTAGTAGTCTCAGTATGCTTGTCTTCAACTAATCTTTCTCGAATCCGATCGATAACATTACTTTTATATTGGAAATGGCTGTAAAGTGTAAGTTTGTCTATTGTTTATGATTCAAATGTTTTCCAGAATTCTGTTAACTTGTTTTGTTCTATTTTAGCATTTTATTGCGGTCAAGTTAAGAGAACCATTGACAAAGATACTACCGGAACGTACTGCTGAGACGGTTAAGTTGGGTCTATGGAATTGTTTTCTTCGACATACCAAGATTTTGATTCTAAATGTTTGCTCAATCGAGAACAGAGGTTTCTAATATACATATTTATTCATCGGACTTTTGTTGTCGAAATGAATTTTATATGAAACGCTTGATCAAATTTTTAAGTGATTGCAGAAATGATCCACCATTTAACACGTTTCGAACGCAAACTGTTGTAACTTAAATTAAATGCCCCGTAACGTGGGTAGATCGCCTTTTCGTGGTACGTTACGGGATGTAAGATCTACCACCGATTCCTAGACCCGACTACTTCAAACTAGGGGAATAGGATTTTACAGTAATCAAAGGAACACATCTTAGTCCTTGTTACTTTTTATGCCCTGTTGATAGTGACAAGACTCGGCTTTGTCCACCGAGGATGATCTTGAAACAAGGAAAAAATGAGTTAGTTAGTCTTCATCTATGTGATTCCTAATCTTCTATTCGTTGTTCCCTAGTTTGAAGTGGTTAAGACTAGGGTTCTGATGCATGGTCATTATCGGTGTCATTCCTTAATTTTGTTGCTAAGGAATACAATTTTGACTGACAAAGGGGCGCGCCTTTGGGGAGTGTTTCAACACTCCGAACGGTATAAATAGCGGGACGTTTCAATTAGAATCGATTCCTTGCGATGAAGGCAAGAATGACGACTGTATAAAAACCGAATACTTCATCATTTCTCAATAGTGATGGAGTAATACGACATGCACTAAACTAAGGACACGGGATATACTACAATAAATCAAATTACTGGTCGCAGTGGTGTTATGTCCCGAACAGAGGAAAAAATTCAATTTGATTAAATCGCAACTAATTATACAAGTCCAAGGATTTGGATAAAGTTTTGAGGTTTGAGAACTCGAAAATTTTGCTTTTGCACAGCCTCAGATATAAAAAATAATGATAGTTTTTCGAAAAACAGGGACGCTCTATGCTGAATGGTTTGTTAGGTCAAATTCTGGAAAGTGAGAGATTTTTACACGTAAATTGTTTAAGAAATCATTAGCTACCTGGAAACTCAGGGAATCTCAGGGAAGTTAATCAACGTTTTTTAGAAGGTTAAGACTTGAACAATTTGAATCTAGGTAATAGTTCCTGGACTAGAAACATTTTTCAAATATCCATGGATAATTTCTTCGAGGTTCTGTGACGTATTTTAGCTTTAGCTTTTTATTAAAATCCAAGGCTTAAAAACAAGATTCTGGATCATTGAGGTTTCGACGACTTCCGGACTTAGTAATAATTTATTTATAATTTTAATATTTTAAACCAGTAAGGTTTGCAATGTGTCGTACCCATGAAATAAAACAAATGAATTTAATTTTGGTTAAGACCCCAGTCTTAAAACAAAAACCAAGGTTGAAATTTATCGGCTCTCGGAAATGGAAGCATCTTAATTATGATCTTGTCATTAGGCTTTGAAATATTAAAAATGTTCCAGACATTCACACTGAATTCAGATCACTGAAGTCGGTTATTTTTGAAAAAGTCGTTAAAATTTAAAATGACCGTTACACGTAAGCAACTAATCAAATCGACAACTTTTATTTTTTATAATTAAATTGGGTACAATTTTGTACAAATTCGGAATTAATTGTCTAATATTTGAATTTTCCATTGGTTTTCAAACTTTTACTAATCATCCTAGAGGTTCTAGACTAAGATACATTTTCAAGATTTCATTCTAAAACATTTATGATATGACTTTTGATATCCTGGGGTTTTGAAAAAAAAACTAAAATCTATTAAATCGAGATCCCGGAATCGAGAAAAAATCATCAGCTTCAAACACCCAATCCAAAATTTGAGTTGTAGCTGTAGGACTTGAAAAAATGGCTCCTGAATTTGCACAAACAGGGAACAGGGAATTTACCTTTCTTCATTGAGTCGACACCCTGATTAACAAATCAAATAAAGCTGTTTTTGTGAACAACTCAAATCTGTATCTCTCATGCATGATGAATCAGAGCGAACATAACCCACCATTGTTTTTCAGTTAATGTAAATTACATTCACTGTAAAGCAATAACAAGATCTGCCCGCTCTAGTTCGGCATGCTTAAGAGATGCAGATTTGAGTAATTTAGCTCATATCAAAACCTACAAAACACAACCTTCACAAGAAATTCTACGAATCTCACGTATTTTATTCCTTTAAATGGACTCGTTTCCAATGTAGTTCAACATAACACCAAAGCACTAGTCGAGTATTGTCCCTTAAAATTGGTTTCCACGAGTTTTTCATGCTTCCTCGTCCCCGTGCTGCTTTTGCCCACAAACTGTGCAATTCGCATGACCTGTACTCTTGAAAGATTTTGGGTAAATCCGAATTAATCTTGAGAAGAATTTTAAGCATAATTCCTTGAAAATTTTGATTTGATTTTATTCTGATTAGAATTCCTGGGGAATTTTGAGAAATAATCCAAAGAAATTATGGGAAAAGTTCCAAGAGAGTCCGAACTAAATGGGAATTTTGAGAATAACTTCGAGTGAATTTTAAGGGAAATTACAAAGTAGTTCTGAGTAGAATTCCAAGGGAATTATAAGGACAATTCATAGGGGAGGCTCCCTTAACTCAGTCGGTAAAGGCGCAGCTACAAAGCAAGACCATGCTGGAGGTGGCTGGGTTCAATTTCCGGTCCGGTCTAGGAATTTTTCGGGTTGGAAAATTTCTCGAGTTCCCTGGGCATAGAAGTATGATTGGACTTGCCACACAATTATACCAATGCAAAAATAGTCTCAATTAATAACTGTGGAAGTGCATCTAGAACACTAAGCTGAGAGCACGCAATAAGCTAATATGCGATATGCAACAAGCTTGAAATGCGAAGAAGAAGAAGAAGTCATACGGAATTCTGGAGACAACTAACAGGGAATTCAGAATAATTCCATGGGAATGTTGGGAGAATACTTACATAGTGCTGAGGAGAATTCAAAGAGTTTTCTGGAAAATACAAAAATGGTCCTGACGAAAATTCAAATGGCATAGTAAGAAGAATTCAGAGGAGCAAAAAATCTCAAGATTTACGAGGTTTATAAATCTGTAAATTTCAGACATTGCTTGCTTCTCCGCAGCAAACAAACAAATCAAGAGAAAATTTTCATTACGTCGAAAGTAACAAAGGGCAAACAAAGTCGAGCTATCAGTGTCAATCGATACTCCTGCTATTACACTATATACTGTCTGAATATAGGATCACATCTAATTTTAAAATTTATTTACCAGTTTCTGGCGGAATCACCTTCCGATTCATCATCCCGATTTCTATAGAGATGCGACAGCGCAGAGAAACCCATGAAAAGTGTACGATCGAACTGTTTGTAGCTAAGATGATTTCGGTGGTCCTAAAATGATGAATGGGCTGCAAGTAAGGAGATCCCAACAAACAGATTGAGTTGATTAACAGCTGAATAAGCCATTTTGTAGCTGAAGAAGCTTATTTTTGCCTGAATAAGCTCTTATTCAACATTCAATGTTTGTTGGGATGTGATTGATAACTCTCCCGAATATCCTGGTAAATACACTTGGACTTAAGTAACATTAGGGAGCCACCAAACGATGTATAATAACTTTTGACTCAAAAACCAGTATTTTTTAGCAAGAAAGCTAGCGATCTGCTTTGTATGATTAAAACCCTGCTTAATATGTTAAACATTGCTATCACTATGAGATTATAAATAAAAAATATTTTTTTCTCGGATCGGTGCGAATGTTACTTTGGACATAATGAAAATTTGCTCTTGAAATATAGTAGTTTCAGCTATGTGCCTTAACAAAAACCTTCATATTTTGGAATCACCTCAGAATTGCAAATTTAAAATAAATCAAGTGTTTGAAACTTTGCAAATGTTTGGCTTGGGCTCAGCTAAGCAGACATTGATAATAACGATATCCTGAATTTGGCAAACATTTGAAACACCAGACTTAAAGAAATTTTCATAATTCCAAGAGAATTGTTGCAGATTTTTCCTCCTTTGAAATACCCTAAGGGTGTGACTGTAACTAAAAGCATTAAAGCATTAAAAAGAACAGTTCAAGATAATGTATGAAAGTAGTAGACTAGGAGGTCCCGAAGAAACATGCTCAATATTTTGGCTCAGGAAGTACCAGACCTTCGGTCCGCGAAAAAATCCACGAGCCCCTCATTAAACTCTGTCACATGTATAGAGCTTTTTTTTCCCATTTGTGGCACAGACCTAACTGGTCCATATTTATAGAGCGATGAGTAAATTTGCCTCATGTTTTCCCAGGTTTTTCCAGGGAAAAAATCCCAAATTTGAGAAAAGTAAAGATTGGATTCACTCAGTACTACTCCGAGACTGAATAAAATTTTCGTCAATTTCCTCATTTTCCGGCAGATTTGTTAGGTTTTCCACAGGAAACCATGAGACAAATTTAACTCATCGCTGCGTTCCTGCACTTTTGGCGATTATGAGTGAACTAAACTCAAATTTGGGTCGTTCTCATTCGCCGTGTAGCTAGAGGCTGCTAAGCCAGCATTTTTCTGTTGTCTGCTATTTTTCACCCACACACTTACACCCAACGCAAAACAAACACATGCGGTGTAAGCGACTGCTGTAAAGCAATACAACCGCAACGTTCATATGTGTTGTTATGGACCATAAATTTATAGACCAGTTAAGAGGGTTCTGTCAAATTTGTGAAATCCCATAGTGGAACCGTTTGATGTCAGTTCCGTGGTTTATAGATGTACTTGGGATCAATGGGTTAGTTAAGTAATGAGCCAATTTAAAATCGTTAGTTTCGTATTGATTGTTGGTATTGACGAAGCTGGCATTTTTCGAAGTATTAACATTTATTCACACATTGTTAGGATAACTTCAACTGCGTAAAATTTAAATGTTGACAACAAAACCGGCTACAGCGAAGGACTCCTGTAGATTGGTGAATTCGCACGGTCTAATGGAATTGAAAGCATGGCTGTGAACGTGGTAACCGTCCTGGCTATCCTTAGCAGTGTTCAATTCCTGGAATAAAAAGTTTGCCCCATTTCATGAACAAATAGCGGAATGTTTCAATATGAACTACTACAATACCCGTGCGATTTTGGCAACAAGGCCGATAATTGTGTGTTCCCAAAATCGAACGGTTTTATTTTGATATTTAATTTACGATTTCGTCGATTTTGGACCACCGTGAGTCATCTCTATGACATAGACCTTATTTAATAGAAATTGTACTCACAAGGAGCGAAAATACATTATGTTAAAAATTCAATTCAATTTAGGCACAATGCCAAAAACGAACGGTTTTGTGGTTTTGCTGCCAAAATCGAACGGATACTAGGGGACCCCAGGGGCCCCAGCAAGTCCAGTATTACCAAGACTCATTAACGCTCTCAATTAATATCTATGGAAGTGCTTGAAGAAAACTAATTTAAGAGCAGGCGAAAGCTCGTGTAAAAGCGTCAAAATCATGAAGAATTGAATTACTGTCTTCAGCAAACATGATCAGGAATAGCTGTTCGTGTTTATAAAAAGTGCTTATAATCCGCAACTCCTACTGTAGCAATTTTAAATCCTATATTGAGAAACTGAGATTTTCACTGAAGACCGACACAGCCCGATCTATCGTTCCTCAGGCCAATTTAAATAATTCAAGCTGAACAATGCATTGGGTCTCTTTCGTCAATAACCAGGATAAAGAACTGTTTCTTGTCCTGTTTGTCGTATTAGAAGCTAGATAAAAGCTTCTTCCACCGAGCTGTGTACAGAAAACAGCTAGGAATGTCTTAACATGGCCTTGAGGATGGGAAAAGAAAGTCGATGAAGATAACCGATCAATGTTACTCAGGACCTAATGCTTGGTTCAGCTTGATTAAACATTAATTTCAAAACAATTCAACGACTTAACTAAACTCACATGCCATATTTTTCTTCTTCCTCTTTTTCAGGAATCCCAGTGCGCTTCGATCGGAAGGAAAGTGCTTATCTAATGCACCACAAGTTTTGCTTAATCGATACCGATTGGCTGTGTCCACGGTGCTATCATGAAGAAAAAGTGCAAAGAAAGGGTTTCTGCTGTAAGGCGGTATTTGATAAAGGTGCTAGTGGGAATGCCTCCACCACTACCAGTGCAGTTGTTATCAGTGCCGGTGCAATGGCCAATGGTCAAAGTGATGGTGATCAAGTCAATGGTTATGGTAGCCCTACCAGCGGCTCTGGTAAAGTGCAGTGCGTCGATGATGGCTCTCGGTGTGTGCATTGCGATAAGCAGAAGAAGAATGAAGTTGAAAAGTGCAAGCTTAAGAACGAGCAAGTTGAGCCGCTCCCGATTGGGGGGTTACTCATAACCGGGTCCACCAATTGGACCATGCAAGCCATGTCCGGCAATTGGGATAACATGTTGCTAACGTCGTTGCCGGAGCTGGTCATTCCGTTCCAGTTGGAGTTTCAACGGTTGTGGAGAGATTTCGCCCATCATCCATTGTTGGTCAGTCCCGCTAGCGGTTAGAGGGGATAAGCGGTAAGAGCTGTTCGGCGGAGGGGACCGCACAGAAAGCGAGAGAGAGGTGAGTTTTTTTTTTCTGAGATAGAACGATGCGCGTGTGGAACAGCTGATCGGGAAAACAGCTGTTTGTATGCACACGCGAGAGAGAGAGAATTAAAGAGAGAACAAGAAATTCGCTCTCTCGATGAAAGTGGTGAAAAGCAAATGTGTGGTGAATAATATTTTCCTGCATTTTATAATAGGTGGCAGCACAAGGCTACCGAGTTCGCAATTTATAGGCACTGAAAACGAATGTTACTCAGAGAGTGAGTCACTTTTACTCACTCGTATGGAAACATTTCAAAGTCGTAGTTTACTGATGCGTTGAGTGACCTACTCAACGGTTTGAGTGATGGCTCAAAATTAAGTGCAGGACAAATTAATCTTACTCAAATTTGTTCCACATGATTTTATGTGACCACACATAAAAAGAATCTACTCAGAAGCATACATGAAATTTATGAGTCAAATGAATAGTATGTGTGGTTACACATGGCTATTCAGTATGTGTCCGACACAGATATATCTTTTGTTAATCACATTGCAAAAAATCGTGTGTGGGACACATAAAAACCATATTTGAAATTTTATTAGTGTAGAATGAGTATGTGTTTATTCAAATATAAGGAAATATCACTCATATTTGAATGAAATTTACTAGTAAAAATTTTCTAACCTACACGGCAAATGAATCTGACTCATATTTGAGTATCGTTCACTCCAATTCGGAAAAAAACGTAGTAATTCTTCGATCTTTTGCGGGGAACTTCTCGAACATGAGGAAAATTTAGAGAGATTTTATTTAGTCTATCAGTATACTCCTAGGCTCAATCAAATGTTCGTCGATTGTCCCCATACCCAAGAAGTTTTTTCTTCGAAAAGCTCGGAAAATTTTACTCCTTCAATTTCGCGAATTTGAGTGAACGATACTCAAATATGACTTAGATTAATTTGCTGTGTGTAGGTTTTCACTCCACTAAAAACTACTCTTACTCAGAGACTGAGTCAGTTTTTTTAAATTTCTAAAAGCGTACACACGTAGTTTTTTTTACCAAGCTCGGCTGTGCAAATCTCGGCAAAAATAAGTTCCACTGAGATCTCAGCAAAAGTGACATTTGTATACTGAGTCTCGGATAATGCTAGTGCATAATGGAAAGCAAACAAATGAAATGTTTACTGAGATCTCAGTCAAACTTGTTATGCCGAGATTTGCACAGCCAAGCTCGGTAGAAAAAACTAAGTGTGTAGGTTACTCAGTCATAGTTTCATAACAGAGTAAAAGTGACTCACTCTCTGAGCTAGTTTCGTTATCACTATCTATACTTATGAGTAAAGTGACTCACAACTGAGTAAAAGTGACTACTCTTTGAGCTAGTTTCGTTTTCGATGCACTGTTGACTAAATTGAGTCGAGTCGACTCATTTTTTAACGAGCTGATGGTTCGTGAAGTGTGCTAACATGATATTGAAGTATACTTTAAGGCGCTATAATAAAAAAGCTATACACGGCCGATTAAACCAAGCCACATTTGAGTTTCGTTCACTCAAATTTGTAAAAGCGTACGCACTTAGAAATTATCGCCGACTTCGGTAATTTTTACCGAAATCTGAACAGCTGAACTTTTCGGTAAAATTTATGCAAGTCAATTCAATTGCTTTTCAGCTACTTTGAAACTAAATCTCCACTAAAATGACTATCAACCAAATGTTTAAATTGGGTACTTGGCACTAAGAAAGTCTACAGTAATTTTAACAAAGTATACATATCTGTTAAAAAATTGAAAATTTTAACCAAAGTGACCAGTGAACCGTAAAACTTTATAACAGCAGGAAAACTATTGGGAAATGCCTTCCATTTTCGATTAAAAATCGGGGAAAGTATACCTCCTTTCCCAGAAAATAAATTGTAAACCTTGGAAACTTTCCAAAGGTATTTGTTTGTGATAGATTTTCAAAAGTCTTTCAATGATGATTAAGAACTAAAAAATCCAAAGTAAATTTAAGAGAATTTTAAAGGATTCTAGGGATGACACCAAGATATATCAAAGAAGAATAACAAAGTACAAACTACGAAAGTCTTATGTAAAATTAAGTGCTCTGAGGACCGATTTCTTTGTCTCCGCTTAAATCTTAAGGCAGGTTTACCCACATAGTTAAACTTGGCTTAACACAAACGAGCGTCGCTTTTGATTATTGTTTAAATTCAAATATAATTGAGAATGAATTTTAACGAGAGTTCTGAGAAGAATGATTGGATGAAGATTCTAGGTCCAATTCTTATAACAATTCAAAATAAGTTCTGAAATTTGGCTTGAAGGAGCTCTGATGAAAATTGCATGAAAATACTTCCAAGAGAATTCTTAACAGTTCGAAATTAATTCCGAGAAGAATTCCAATGGAATCGAATTTTGAGGGTTCAATCTCAAAGAAATTCTGAGAAGTGTTTCAAAGTTATTCTGTGATGGTTTTTTGTTTTGAGAATTCTGATGAAATACTATGGAAATTCTAAGGAGAATACGAATTGAATTTCCAATTGAATGCAGGGGAAGTCCAAGATTACTCTAAGCAGAAATTTATGAGGTCAATTGCATAGAAATTCTAAAGAGAATTCAATTAAATTTAAAATGGATTTACGGAAGGAGCTTCCAGGGAGTTCCTAGAAAAATCAATAAAAAACGAAAATAATCTACTTTAACTAATCATGTGTTATTACTTCATGCGTGAATTTAACGATTTACATAGCCGGATGCTTAGCGTCAAATATCAAACTTGAAGTGGAGATTTTATACGATAGATGAGGAGATTAAATTATTGAGTTGATAGTTCCGTTATAGTACGGCAGTGTGAAAATTGTAAATACAAAGTAGGAAGCGAGCAAAGGACAATTTTGAGGAAGGTACGAGATTCTGTTGTGAAATTCGATTAAATTAGAGGAATTTATGGAATTTGATTTTGAGTTCCATGACATAAAAAGTTTATTTCAAATCAAACCGTATTTGAATTTTTAAGTTACCATATAAATGGTTACTTATTTAGTATTTACAAGTCACTATTTGGTTACTATTTCCGTAATTTTAGTCACTAAAGTCACTACTATTATATCGCATCAGCACTACCAGCCTTGAGATCATATATCCGGGATGGTTTGGATAATCCATCAATGTTATTTTAAAACAAAATTAACAATTAAATGATGATATGAGTCTCCATGAAGTACAAAATGCTCAAAAATTCTGAGTGGACATCAAATAAGATTTCGATTAACCTGTAAAATGTCTCCAGTACTTTTTGTAGAATGATAAATACTTAGGTAACACATCTTTGTATTCCACATGTTTGGCTTATAGAACTTCAAGAAGCCGAATTGAAGAACTTTTAACACTGCGTTTCTCCTGCTGACATACCAAAACAACATTTAGGGTATTTTTTCAAGATTCGATTTTATACGAATTCATGGTTCGATGAGATTTTGGAGATATAGATCATCAACATGTTAGTGTAAATCTCAGTTCATATTTTTTCTACAAAGTAGACGTATTGTAGAGCAATTCTTCTGAATAAACCTAATGCTTATCTCTAAACGGTTATTTTTGAACAGCTTTTTTTTTGCATAAGGCAGGGTTGGTGTTTGGGTTGGGTTTATTTTAAATAATCGGGGAAAAACCGGGAATTGAAAAAATGAATTTTAATGGACTCCCTGAAAATTTATAATTTAGAACGCATTCTCCCAAATTGTCTATGGATTTCACTTCGAAATTCCATGAGAATTTTCCTCAGAATTTGGAAGCTTTTGCATCTTTCTTAGAATTATCTTTGCAAATTTCTTGAGGAGCTTCTCAAACTCAGATAATTGCAAAGACATTTGGAAATATGCTCAAAATTCTCAGTGAATTCTCTCTTTGGAACTTCCTCGCAAATTCATTTAACTTCCACCTGAATTAGTTTTCTTAGGAATTCCCGTAAAACGATCTTCTAAAATAGGCTTCTATTTCTGCAAAGTATTTGTGTGAGCTTTTTTCAAAAGTATTTTCCTTGGAGCTCTTCTCAGAAATGTCATTGATAGTTTGATTGAAATTTAAGTGATTTTCAGCCGTAGTTAATCATTAGGGGTAGTGTCAGGATAATCATATCATGTGTGTCATGGGATATCATCATTATGTTTTTTCGTAGAATTCACTTTAATTCTCTTCCGGATTCCCTCTAAATTATCCCTGAAATTCCTTCAGATTTGCTATAGAATTCCCTGGAATTAATTTTGTTGCGAAAGAACCCGTTTTTGACTGACAAAGGGGTGCGCCTTTGGAGAGTGTTCGGAAACTCCGAAGGGTATAAAGGTCTCGCAATTAGAGTCAGATCCTTGCGATAAAGTCAACAATGACAATCGTATCAAAACCGAATACTTCATCAATGATCAGTAGTGATGGAGTAATACGAACTGAACTAAACTAAGGACATGGGGTGTAAAATAATAGATCAAATAACTGGTCGCAGTGGTGTTATGCCCCGAACAGAGGAGGAAAAAAATTGACCCACCCTAATTCTAAAAAAAATATTGTGAAATATTGGGCTACTGCGATCTATAATAAAATAAAATCGAATGAGAAAACTGGCAACAATCCCAGTCGATAGGCGCTATTCTCAAAACCGCACCGGAAGCGCACAACACCTTTTTCCTCCACATTTCGGCAACGAACATTTAACAATCGGTTAATCAAATTTTGACAGCCCCGTCAAGAAAATATGACGCCAAAGAACAAAACGCACAAATGAAACAAAGAAAAAATCTTCCACATTCACTTCCTTACTCGCACAGAACAGAATGAAACAAAGACGGATCGAGAGTCCGTCCAGGTAGAGGTGCACGTGCTCCTCGGCGATCCTCGTCAAAGACAGCCCGCCGATGCACCGAGATATTATGTGATGCGTGTATGGACCCGGTGCCAAATTACATAATAGCCAATTTTCTAAATTTCGAACCTCAGATCCTGTTCCCATCGGTGAAAGGTGTGCGTGGAACAATATT